TTCCTTCTCTGTAAGGCCGTGATATTTCACGTAGTGAAACTACGCAAAGCTTCTAGGTTGCACGTCACACGTAGGCTCACTATTGGCCGACGCTGGTCATGTGTGTGATGCGTGACGTACAACCTAGTAGCTTTGCGTAGTTTCACTACGTGAAATATCACCGCCTAACAGAGTAGTTGAATAAAGTCGTTCTTTTTGTTTGTTTTTTGCGCACAAAAAGTATTCTCGTCGCTTGATAAACTTAAGATTGAGCCACTGTAGTCACTCGGACTATTTTAACGATGTCTTTCATAACTTTTGGGCCGGCCAGTTTCGATCCCTTTAAGAAGCCTATGGAGGAGTGATCCAGCTCTCAGATTTCATTAAAAATATCTTAATTTGTGTTCCGAAGATGAACGAAAGTCTTACGGGGTTGGAACAACATGAGGGTGAGTAATTACTGACAGAATTTTCATTTTTGGGTGAACTAACCCTTTAACATGATATTCTCGGGGGAAAATGAGCAGCAGTCAACTAGCAGTGCAGCACCTGTAGCTACAGTTTAGAGGAGTGCACGCTCGCAACGGGGAAAGCATGAAGCTTACTTGACAACATCAGTTCATATATCAATATCGTAACGAATAGAAATAACCTTAAATAATGTATGCTTATCTGCATCGTTCCGTCTCTTATGTAAAGTTACTTTTTAAACACGAAAATCGCATTCAGCATGACACGCAAGCGGTTGCCGTGGTAATGAACAACCTGCGTGTTAAAGCGAATGTATAATCCTGTATCTGAGGCAAAATTGCTAAATTTGCAGTGCGAGTTATATATTTCTAACTCCAAACAATTAGCCACTGAACCAGCTTATAAAATTTTCTTCAAGGCTGTGCTGGTTGCATTTGAGGTACAGGTCATGGGGTTTCTCAGATTTCGCTTGAGTAAGCATTAGCCTCGATAGTAGTCGTGTCAACTTCATTGCGTATTTTTATATTTTGAATATATCCCTCTACTGCATACTGTAACCTCGATCTGGAGGATATCGCTGAGGTATTGCTCCAAAAAAAGGTCACTAACACGCACAGGTATACCTCTTCCCGTCATGACCATTTGTTTGACGGGCGTAGTAACAATAACTAGAGGGCGTGGCTTTTGCGAACGGTGAATTCTGCTGAACTGGTTTGGGGGGGGAAATCACGCATCTCAACACGATTGGATCCCGGAAGTCCTATAGCTTTAGCCAAGCAGCATGTCATGTAACTCCATCATGATTTTTTTTCAAGAATTCTCAAGAATCATTTTATGTTGTGTGTGGGCTCATTTGAATCGAGACAACCTGCTCTAAATAAAGATTTACTATGGTTTACTAATCTGTATACTGTTTACATGCTCGTCGGTATATGACACGTTGGTAGCGACTTTTTGCGGTTTTACGTCGCGCGATTTTTTCCTCCCAAACCAGTTCAGCGGAATTCCCACCCTGCAGCCAATTCTAAAGATTTCATTGGTCATGTCAATCACTGTACTGATTGCCTACACCAAACACTGGTCCCTAAACCAACCCGTCACTGTAACCTTAACCAATTAAATTAGCTGCAGGGCGGAATTTCCGCCGAACTGGTTTTGGGGAAAAAAAGGCGTGGATAGGGGATTTACTACGGTTTGCGCTAGTCAATTTACTGGTATTTGCGGCATTATTTAATGCACCAAAAAAGCGTGTCTTAAACCAGACGCTAATTTGCGCTGCTCTTGGTAGATTGCGTTGGTCATTATGGAAATGATCTGACTGCGTCTGTGTTCTTTAATTTGCGCGTCGTCAGTAGCTTTCCTCTCCCATCTGAGCTTTTTTGGAATTGCGCTCTCAAGCTTATTTGCCCTAGTAAATCTGGCCCTAAATATTTTATTTTCATTTAGTGAAACTGTGTTAAACACATGCTTTGATTATATTTGCCTAGATTTTTCATCATACACTAATAATTGTGCGGCTTATTAGTCTTTACACACACAGGAGAACCCCTCATGAAAAATGTCCGCCTGCTGGAGTTCACAACAAATGCGTACGCACATGAATTTGTTCTCAAACTCGTTCTAATGTTAATGAATTTGGAGTATTATAAATGAGCCACAATAAAACAAATGACTAAATGACCAAATGACCAAACCATCTCTATATAAGGGCCTTTACACACAACCGTTCATTAACGGCAAGCATATGATGCTCTCTAAAGACGAGTTCTCAGCAAGATTATCATCCTCAAAACCAGTTCAAACTGAACAAACACTTTTTATACAGGCCAAGACATAGATACTACATTTGCGTTTTTATGCAAAGGAACATTGCAATAAGAATCTTCACTCTGATACTTTTACACTGAGATCCATTGAGTTGTCATAGCCGCGCTAGCTGTGTCAACCTCTCTCGGGATTTAGTCTCTTTGCTGGCTTTGTTCAGAAGCGATTAAAGATGTCAGCTGCCAGGATAAAGGGTTGTTTTCTTCTGAAGTCTCAGTAGGGAGTGTTTTGAAGCTGCTGTGGAGTGCCAGACCTTAAATCAAGAGTTGCTGGGTCACAGGAGGACGGACGCTCGGTAGGCTGGGCCGACTGGTGGCTTGGCATCGCTCTTGTTGTTCTGTTCAGATTTTTACCATTCATTTACTCATCTCAGTTTAAAGATTACTAGAGTGGATCATAGTGCAGGCATGCAGGGTCAAAACCCTCATCAAATTATGATGACTGCCATCTATGATGGAAACCTTTAAACAATGGCTGTTTGCACGAATCAGGCGCGCACACACAATGAGCCTTTTTACAGTTTCTCTCTGTAAATATAGAGTGACTCTAAGAGTGTCACAAGAAATGAATGGCTCGTCTGTAAAACTTTAGGCTGTTTTTGTATGAATAATGGCAGCGTATTATTTTCCTGGCACTTTTATTGCAAACCACCACTAGATCTGTGCTTGTTCGCCTAAATCTAAAATTGAACGTGGCAGTTTGTAAAATTTAGAATTACAATCATTATCAGCCGTGCCCGTTTCGGTGTAGGAATTGTCATATCAATAAATGAGCTTTTGAAACATTTTCATTTAACATTACAAACATGTCCTTTTTGTGGGCAAGTTGGTTTAAACTGTTATACCATTTTCAAGAAAAGTCTACATTGAATGTCTGAATGTAAAATGTGGTGTAACCATCAAATGAAAAGTCTTAAAGGCACAATATGTAAGATATTTGGATTCAAATATCCAAAACGTAGAATAGTTCTGTATTTTGTTGACTTGTGTACTTACATTATCCTAGATGTTTCCAAAAATGTTTAAATCCAGAGAAATAAGCAATTTTAACAAGGACACGGACCTTTTAAAAAAGGTCAAACAAATACAAATACCATAAAAAAACAAATACAAATACCATAAATTAATTCATAAATATCATTAGATATCTGGGGAGTCTCACCACATGACATTTAACAGCCTTAACTGTCCTAAAAGGTGAAAACTGTTCCTTTAACATTGAAAATAAATTGCACACCACACCTTTAAAGAGATCTCTTTTGTCATTTTCATGTATATAAAAGGGCTTTTTTTTACATTCTTTTTGCAGGTGTTCTATTTTTTATTTTTTGTCTATTCAGGATGTGTTTTCGTCTCTCTGCCGCTCATAGTCTTATAAACAGAGTAAAACTGAACAGCAGCCAGATGCCACGGCCAATTGAATCCATCCTGCCCTGCCCTGAGCTGTGATTGGTTCTTCTGGCTGGCTGGCCACATGCACCCCCCCCCCCCCCCCCGTCAGACCCACACTGCAGCAGAAAGACTATTTTTAGCTCCTTTACATGAGAAGGAGTGATGCTGGGAACTTGATTCAGATGCTCTGCAACTAAAAGCTCATGCTGTTTAGACATGCTACTTTGATTAGTGTCATCTTATGTAACCTTAAACCTTTCATTTCGCAGCCCTAGATTTCAAACCTAATTATCTAAAGAATGCATGTAGGTAATGGAGTGATTTAGTGAATATTTAAAGGTAAGTTATGTAAGTTTCTAGGACTTATAGGGCCCTATTTTAATAACCTAAGCACATATTCTAAAGCGCAGGACGCAAGTGCACTTAGGGCGTGTCCGAATGCACTTTTGCTAGTTTAATGACCGGGAAAATCACCCGGCGCATGGTCTAAAAGGGTTGTCCCTATTCTCTTAATGAGTAATGGGTGTGTTTTGGGCGTAACGTGCAATAAACCAATCAGAGTCTCATCTCCCATTCCCTTTAAAAGCCAGTTGCGCTCGCGCCATGGCGGATTCGCTATTTACATGGCGGAATTAGCAAGCGGAAAGACTGAACGCTTCTCTAGCGAGGAAACGGAATTCTGCTCGCGCGCGAGGTTAAAGCGTGACATGAAACATTACATAATTTCCCTACAATTTGATTGGTTCAATTTGTAAAAGCAACCCGCCTATAGGTGCATATTACTAATGTGGCCTTTAAATAACAAAAAAAAATACTGCGCCATTGGTTGTGGTTGATTTTGAAATCTGTATACACTCATGGATGGATGGGGTTAGGTTTATGAGAAACAGTATGGATTCAGTACGTTTTTGTTTTGTTTTTTGAAGGACTGATTCATTTTTTTAATGATTCTTTACATGAATAAACTTAGAAGAGTAATTTGCTTGGACAAAACATTAGAAAGTTATATTATTTTCTTGTAGATGGCATTCTCCTCACTAGAATCAGTTCGTCTTAAAGTATTTAGATTCTGTCTGCTGCTCTTCTCATTTAGCATTCATTTTTGTGTTGCATAAGCTTTCTGGAACAGTTTCATCCGGACACATACATTTGCTCACACACTCCCACTTTGCTTTGCTTTGCTGATTATCTATTACCTCTGTTAAGGAAAAGGGCTGTATAACACTGCAGCATTAACATTAATTTGCGTGTGTATGTGTGTGATGATCCATTAGTATTTCGGTGCATTATGCTGCTAGCTACACACTATAATGATATTCCTCCTTTCTCCTGCAGGTGGACAGACTGGCTGACACAATGAAGGAGGAGAACTTGTTCCGCAGACGGTTCTCTCTCTGTCCCACAGCCACGTCACCTCCCCAGATCGACCCGCGTGTACTGACCCGCAACCTGTCCTATGGAGGAGACCATGAACTGTACCCACTCAGCCCAGGTATCCATTCTATTCTTAAATGTGTGGAAGCATTACATCCTTTGAGCACAAGAGACATGGAGGAGCTCACTGCTTCTACGTAATACGGTTATGGTAGACAGATGTGTTAAAGAATTCAAGAGCAGAACAGTTTTTCGTCACAAAACCTCATTCATAGTGCATTTAGCTTCATTAATATTCCACAATGCAATGCCCTGGCAACCACTGTAGGAAAACACTGTAGGAACCGCATGAAACGCTACAAATTAGGGATGCAACGGTTAAAAATGACTCTCGGTTCGGTTTGTATCACCGTTTTAGGGTCACGGTTTTGGTACGGTTCGGTATTTGACTAACTGTCAAATTAAAGTAAAGGACATAACAAATCAAACTACAAGGAATAGCACAAACAAATACAATAGAGCAAAGATATAAATAGAATAAACAGTGCTTTTCAGGTACAGAAATGTATTAAAGTGATCACATGTAAAATAATACTGCATATAATCTTCACTGTATAAAATAAACAAAGATTAATCCTTTAAAAAGCTACAAAATGTATTCAGTCGAGCAGTGAGTGCTTTCTTTGTCTTTTGTTGTCTGATTAACATTAAAAACGCAGACAGCAGCAGGAATGTTAGGTTGCTGTCACTTTAAAGGGATAGTTCACCCAAAAATGAAAATTAGCCCATGAGTTACTCACTCCGGAGCCATCCTAGGTGTATATGACATTCTTCTTTCAGACGAATACAATCGGAGTTACTGTATATATATATATAAAAAAAAAAATCCTGGCTCTTCCAAGCTTTATAATGGCGGTGAATGGGTACCATTTTTTTTGAAGTCCATACAAGTGCATCTATCCATCATAAAAGTGTCCAAAACGGCTCCGAGGGGTTAATAAAGGCCTTCTGAAGCGAAGCGTTCTTGTAAGAAAAATGTCTATATTTAAAACTTTATTGACTAAAATAACTATCTTCCGGCAGACGGCCTACGCAAGGCCTACGCAAGTCAACTTGCGCCAAAAGAGTAACACATGATGTAGGAGTAGCGTAAGCTTTGACGTCTCTCGTGGTTCAAACAAACAGGGCTGGGCAACCCCGTTCGTCATTACGTTGTGCGTCAAGCTTAAGGGTCACTCTTTCCCTGTGGATCGATGCGTATGCTCGGAGCCGTTTGGGACACTTTTATGATGGATAGATGCACTTGTATGGACTTCAAAAAATGGTGCCCATTCACTTCCATTATAAAGCTTGGAAGAGCCAGGACATTTTTTAATATAACTCCAATTGTATTCGTCTGAAAGAAGAATGTCATAAATACCTAGGATGGCTTCAGGGTGAGTAAATCATGGGATCATTTTCATTTTTGGGTGAACTATCCCTTTAAGGCATAAGGCATGGATCCAATATACTGATACTGTACTCATGCGTTGTCTTTCTCGACTGTTTACATTCACTTAAGACTAACCGACTATGTCGGCTAAGATACTCACCAAGGGCAATGCCACTGCCACGTTGACATCATTTTTGTGCGAATTTGTCTGTTCAAGCCAGTGCCGGTCCTCCCTATACGCAAAGTACTCAAGTTGCGTAGGGACCCCGAACTACCAGGGATGAACCCATCCAAATCAGTCAAATCATGTAACATGACTGTCGTAATACAGTCTCCTGTCGGACATGCTCAATACTAAAAAGAAGAGTTAAAAGCGTATTGAGCTGAGAAAGAGCTGCTATTCTCCAGGCGGCTTTCTGTGCGATCGATCTTAGATGGAACGAAATAGCCTATAGGCTACGTTGGGCTTCGGGCATGCGCTTAAACGGACAAATACACACAGAAATATGTCAAAATGCCAGTCTTGGCAAGTTTTCACTTAAACGTAGTCGGTTATGTCTTAAGTGAACATAAACAGTTGGGAAAGTAATCGAATGCTTGTCAGTATATTAGATCTGTGCATTTGGTCTTAAAGTGACAGCAGCCTTATAAACCTGCTACTATCTGTCATATAGGGTCCTATCCTACACCCGGCTCAGCGTCAGGCATTTGCAAAACATCGCAAGGGTTTTTTGCTAGTTTCAGCCCGATGCAGTTATCATTTTCACGTCCTGCCACATTGTTTAAAGCAAATGCATTTGCGCCCATTTATGCACCCATGGGCTGCTGTTCTGAAAACGAGGTGTGTTCAGGCGCATTGGCGATTTGCTATTTTGAGGAAACTGAAATAGACTACGCGAATGACCAACAAAAACCTGGTCTAAATTCAATGGTGCAGTATTTTTTTATTTAAAGGGGCGCATTAGTACTGTGCGCCTATAGGCGGGTTCACAACGTGGGTACACTCTGCTTATTACACACACAGGGATACGCAGCAGCACACAAACACGCCAAATATTAAAAATAAAAGGATTACAATATAAAAGATTAATATTGTGTGCATAAAGAAAATATGGTGGAGTCCGGCTTGTCCCGTAGATGGTCTGTTTGCACTTTAACCTCGCGCGCGAGCAGATCCGTTTCATCTCTGGAGAAGCGTTCAGTCTTTCCGCTTGCTAATTCCGCCATGTAAATAGCGAATCCGCCATGGCGCGAGCGCAAACTGGCTTTTAAAGGGAATCGGAGATGAGACTCTGATTGGTTTATTGCAGGTTACGCCCAAAACACACCCATTACTCATTAAGAGAATAGGAACAACCCTTTTAGACCATGCGCCGGGTGCGCAGAACATTTTTCCGTCGATAAACTAGCAAAAGTGGATTCGGACACGCCCTAAGTGCACTTGCGTCCTGCGCTTTAGACCATGTGCTTAGATCGTTAAAACAGGGCCCTTGATGTTGTAAACGTCCTAATGTTATTTTATGATACTCATAAGCATTCACGACGGGTGAATATAAATGAATGATGCTAACAAACTGAATTTAACCCAAGAAATAAGTTCTAAATATTGTTTAAAAAAACAAGGCATTCAACTCTATTATATATCCAGGCGCTATACGTTATTCCTTGAATGGGCTCCATAGAAACTCCTTCGACCTCCTACTTGGAGATAAAGATCTCAGAGAGACTAAAAACTGTTAAAATATGACAGATAGCATCTGGTTAGTAGCTGTTGCAGTGCTGCTCATGTTATCTAACTCGCTTCAACTAATTAATCAATGAATGTGATAAAATCTCAAAATATACAGTAATTTCATCAACTTTCCAGCGAGTGTGCTTGAGACACACTGACATGAATGGGGTTCAATGCTGGAACTATTGGTTGTTTGGAACTATTGGTCGCTCCATGACACGCTTTACTTCCGCATTCCTCAATTCCTATGGAAGCCTATGGGAGTGTCAGAACTCTGTTTTTAACGGCTACAAACCATCCCTGTCAACCACTAGCAATGCCCGCCTGACAACCACTTAGAATATCATAGAAACCACACAGCTACTACAAACAACTGCACAATAAGGGACATGTACTACAAAAAGAAAGTGTAAAAAATTTATTTCATTTAATCTTTAACTGAGCTGATTATGTTTTGAAATCCCCTGCTAAAATGTTATTTACTGTAGCGTTGTATGTGTATTCATAGTCCTGGTGATTATAATTTTTTACCCTTGATATATTAATGTGGTGTTCGTTTGCTGGTGTGGGTGTGTGTGTGCGTGTGTGTGCATGCGTGTGTTCTTCAGGTAATGAAACGGAGCGGAACGGTTTGCCCTTACCGAGGGACGAGGTCAGCCCGGCCCGGTCGCCCAGCAGCGTGGTGCGTTAATCTTTTTGTTGACTGCCCGTATGGAATATGACAACAAAATAATGCAGATGGGAAAGAAAATTCACCGTACTTGCTGCTGGTTGAAGAGCATTTCCATAACACATCTGTTATTTCAACCCGCTTACTAGTTAACATTTTAACTAGAGTTTATTTCTGAATGCTGCTAAATGAAAGATAAGAGGATTCACTCCCTAGACCTCTGCTAATGCGAAGCGAAATGACCTGCAATTAGTGCTTGTCAAAACTTAACCAATCACAGTCTTCCTTATTCATTTCTCTCAAACCGTTTTACATGCGGTAAAAGCTTTTAGTAAATCAGAACTAAAACAGGCACATATAAAACGCATTTGTCTGCATCATGTGTTTTTAATGGGCGAATCTAGAGTAAAAGCCTGTCATTCATTCACCCATGTGAGACATTGAACTGTAACATTAATGCATCGCATTTGTATAAGCCTGAAAAAAAAGCATTTAGCATCGCACCTGCAACTACTGTATTAGTTGGATATTCTGATAATATTATGATTACTTACTATTTATAGATAATGGCTCAATGGCTTTTTTATGTATATAAATCAAATGTCCCAGTTACACTTTATGTTGTCACATTTTCCCGGTAAAATAAACATTACGTTACATCAAAAGAAGAAGAAAAGAAACTAAATACACCTCTATTTTGTATTTTTACAGTAACAATGTTATTAATCTTCTGTTTATTATAACCAAGTTTAAATCTCATCAAGTTAGTGTTTTAAGCATTTTTACATTTATTAAAAAAATAACTAAAGACAGTAATAATTTAAACAATATATTTTATTTGTGAACTGATCTTCAGATATTTTTTTAATAGTCAACTTTTATTCTGGATCATCAGTTATCAAACTCTGTAAACACTGGTTACAGGCATAAACCAAGACCAAGCTGATTGCTCACTAAAAAATCTGCCTCAAATCATGTTTTAAGGGCATTTTAAGTTTGATTTTGACGTGTCATAAAGCGGTGATATCTAAGTGGGTGAGTTGTTTACTTACTTTTTAAATATTCTTCCCATTAACGCCATCATTTTGTTCATTCAGACGACTCACAAACGCACACAAAAACAAGAGACAGGATTATTCGCACAAGCCTGATGGAGGCATTAGTTGTGTACGAAATCACCCCCTATTCCCTCATTCACTTTTCCCCACATTACTCCACTAATATAGTCCACTTGAAGAAGTGAATGAAAACAAGTGAGTGAACTCAGACACTGAGTTCCCTAGAAGGGCTGCCGCTTAGTTGGCATATTTTGAGCTTGCTGTTTAAAAATGATTTGAATGATTAGCAAACTGGCAGCTCGAGGTAGTAATTAAAATATTTATCTTGAACTCTGTCATGGAAACTATGTATAAACCTTAATTAAACAAGACATCACACGTCATCAGTTCGTTCTGTAAGGCTATGTAGAGTTGTAGACAGACGTCAGTCACCGAGCGCCACACACAAACAGCAGCCATCTTTTATAGCCGTAATTACGAGATGGAAACCCGTGACTTTCTATCCGGAGCTGTTTACGTCCTCAGACTCGGATTTGCGTTCCTATGTCAACACTATCAATGCCGAAATAAATCTGCAGCAGTCAGGTGGGACAAGTAAGAGCTCTGTAAGTTGATCACGTTCATTATTATTGTAATGTTATGTGGTCTCTCGTGATGCTTTTCAGACTCTGCCCTGGAGTCGCTCTGAAGGAAGGGTGGGATCTCATGCTTTGAAAGCTAACTTGCTATTGCTAGCCTCTCCGAAGAGCTAGCCTTGCCTACCGTACACTTAAGGGTATAGGGGGCGATTTCGGGCACAGCCATTGCCTGCTCTAATGTGACTTTCCCCTATTCATTCTCAGTTACCTCCCACCAAACCCACTGCACGCTTTAGGGGGTCTGTTAAAACTCAATAGGCTCAGGAGAGGCAAGAGAGACAAGGACTCCCGCTACAACTTTACCTGCTCGTGTCGCTGTTGGGACGGTGTTATTTTAGAAAAAAGTAGTGATTTATATACTTTTTCATGTCACATTTTGTAATATTTGCATTGTTTTATAACATCCCTGAATATAAAACTGTGAAATAACATTACTGGTGTTATTTTGGACTCCACACTCAATCATACAGGCTAATTTGAGCCTAAGAGGGAAGCTGTCTTCTCCATATTTTGGTTCAACTGACACCCACAGCTGACCAAACAAACCTGCTGCATTTAGCCTGGCTCCTTTTGCAGTTAGTGTGAAAGAGTTGTAGCTGGAAGTTGCTTCATTTGCATTACAATTTCTAAATTAATATACTTACTTAATATGATTATTATGGTGGGAACGTGAGCATGAAACGGCATTCGCAACCCGTTTTGTTTCCGTAATGTAAGGATATTCAGTGATGTCAAATGTTATCAAGTCACTTTATAGGTGGAGCAAAATGACTACAAATCTTTTTTTTTTCTTCTTTGGAATAATGTGCAGTGGTGAATTGTCCATGTTAAGCTCAGGAACATAAATAAATAAATAAGGTCAATTTTGATCTCATGTGGACTTTACATGAATTTTAAATGAATTTTTATGGGATTTTCTGTTTTGCAATCTCTTCTTTTCCTCAGTCGGAATCCAGAATGTTTATTGGTTTGGAGAAGGAGTCTTCCTCGCCCACGGAGAAGCTGGCAAGGAAAGAATCGCTTAAGGTATGATGTGCTTCCCACTCAAGGCTGAGTTCCTGACCCAGTTTCTCAAAACAGCAGCTTGGTTGCGGTGTCAACAGGTGGACGGCACAGAACCTGCACACAGGCACTTTCTCTAAGCAGAGGAAATACTAAAATATTTATTAAAATATTGAATCCAGCTTTTCATCTGGCCTGTTTTTCATCTTTTTACTTTGAAGTTTGAACAGCTACAAATGTTATCCCACCAAACTTTGCATGTGGCTAGGGACTGGTTAGGGCTTTTTTGTCAGTTTGGGACGGATGTATGGAAACCTCTCACTAGGAACACATTTGCCTCAATTAAGGACCTTTCTGAACGTTCTGTTATGAAAATGTTTTTGGTATTTGATATTTTCTGTGAATCCTTTAAAAATCTTTATCTAATGAACCACTCGCTCAGTGTTGTTATTGTTATAAATATTAAACCCATTTTTGTTACTTGAAATACAATAAATTATAAGTATTTGATGAAAAGATTCAATTTAAAAAATGTAAACAAAAATTTGAAATGTTACATGGCAACTAAATTGAAGTACTAAAATTACTGAAGCTAAAACTGAAATTGAAATAAAAATAAATTAAAGCTAGATAAAAAAACTAATAAAAAGAGCACATACAATGTATTACTAAAAAAATAAAATAAAATAAAAACTGAACTGAAAGTATAAATAAAGCCAGAATAAAGCCAATTCAAAACATTAAGAACTACTTTATATAAAATAAACTTGTCTTGTCAGTGTTATTTCTAAAATTCTCAGTGGCACTCTATTTATTTTTCATCCTCTCATTATAAATTTAAATGTTCCTAACTCTAAAATTTACATAGATTTTTGTTGAGTTTTCGTGAATTTAGACATTAAAATGTAAGGCCGTCAGTGCAACTCATAGACTCTAATATTAATTTTGGGTTATCCTTTTACGAAAACAAAAATGACTAGGTTCGAGATAAGTGATGTTTGCATTGACTGGCAGAGTTCTTCTCCTCCATCTAAAATAAAAGCATTAAAAGATTTAAAAATTAAAAGAGGTATATAATTTAAGTTTTGTACATGCAATCATCAATATGATGTGTTATCTGTAATGCTATAAAAATCTAAATACCCAAGCTCTATCAGGTATATAAGAATCTTCAGATAAATTGTTCAACAGAGAATTCATAGAAAACAAAGCAAAACTTTTTTTTAAATGACTAAAAAACACATATTTAGATTCCACTAATTTCTGCTTGCAGCTACTGTATATCTTTAGTTGGTTTGTTGCCCTTTAGTATTGTAAATGCTGCACTCTAGTGTTCAACAAGGTTTTCAGACATTTTACATGTCTTGCCGCCCACTTACGCCCCCTAGCTGATGTTTGAGCAATGCATTAAACCTTAACCTTTTATATTGCAGGTTCAGAAAAAGAACTATCGCCAGGAAAAGAAGAGGGTCGCCAATGAACTGTTCAGTGCACTAAAGGATCCAAGTGTGGTTATTATGTCCAACTGGCTAAAGGTTAGTAAACCTCATTGGTTTTCATTCTAGCAATGAATCATTTCGCAACAGCTTTAAGATGTGGTTCTTGGATGTATCAGATTCGGGGAACATTGAAGAGCTGGACTAAATTATGGTGCATCCTGAAGCCTGGCATTCTCCTGATATTCAAGACGCCCGGTTCGGATCACTGGGTGGGAACGATTCTTCTCAACGCCTGCAAACTCATCGAAAGACCCTCAAAGAAGGACGGATTCTGCTTCAAACTCTACCATCCGCTGGATAAGTCCATATGGGCCATGAAGGTTAGACAAGAACATCTTCAAGAACATGTTTTCTTGACCTTATTGTTGGGACTGATTAGTGTCTGTGTTTTTTTCAGGGTCCTAAAGGAGAAAACGTTGGTTCCATCACACAACCCTTGCCTAGTAATTACCTGATCTTCAGGGCAGCATCTGAATCTGATGGTGAGCATAGGCATTTATCTTCTGTAAAACTGCCTTCTCAATAGTGAGTCCACCTGAGGGCTACAGCCTAATGTCGTGTGCTCCAGGACGCTGTTGGATGGACGCTCTGGAACTGGCTCTCTGCTGCTCCAGCTTGTCGAAGATGACGGCGAAGAGCTGCAGGGATGGAGATCTGAGCAGCTCCTCGGAGTCCTCACACATATTGCAGCTGCTGCAGTGCTCGCCTCTCACAGACCAGGACCTCCTGCAGTAAGTGTTACCCAGCTGTCACAACTCTCTACATCACCATACTGTTTTCACCAGGTCACTTGACAAGTGACATAAAATCATTTAATATTCAAAGATCATTTTTGGCTCCAAAACTATTCATATTAGATACAGTGTAAGTAAATTACACTTTTTTGGCACCAAAGCTAATTGCATCAACTATGAAATCAATGAATGGATTATTTGCAATAAATTTCTGCCACCTAAACTATTTGCTTTAATTTCTATAGGACTCAATTGAAACAAGTTGTATAATATGTACAGGTTTTTAATTTTTTTTATTTGTCGTCGTGTCATAGCCAGTACTGTTTTAAATAGCCTGTGCGTAGCACTTCATCTTTTATAACATGAGATGTTGGTCAAAATACAGAAAAAACTTAGCGCTCACATAGTTACAATAAACTTTATAACCTGTAAGTTGATGAAAATGTATGCGATACACTTACTGCCTCAGATGCGGCCGTTCTTATGACGATGCTAATGATGAAAATTCGCACTTTTGGCACCAAAACTGTTTGCATCAGGTATGATGTGACTCTATGACTTAAAGGTATGAATTATTTGCGAACAGTTTAAGGCAACAAAACTATTTGCATTCACTTTTTAATGAAAAAAAAAGAAGTTTGTTTTCATACAGTTTTCATAAAATGTTGCATTGTTTTCATACAGTGCAACTAAATTACATGAAAGTTTAAATTGTTCAGATTTTTGGAGAATAGTTATTAGTACCACAAATATTTGCCTATGACTTCTCAAACAATTTTTGGGCAAATTTTTGTTATTCTATAAAATAAATAAATAAATATATATATATAATGTACCCTCCAAATACAATGACCAATTATTGCTAAACGATACAAAATATGAAATACACCAAAACTATTTTCATTAACTACAACTACTTGTATGATATGACTACATTGACACAAAAAATTCTCAAAAAATTTGGTGTGAAGGAGTTTATACATCTTCTCTTGTATCTTGGGCTCATTTCTTAGTGGTTAGTTCATGGCATCCCCATTTTTATAACTTTGGTGCTCATGTGGGAAAATTAGGTTTGAGTCTGCTACACATCGTATCTAGATCCTTCCCAGTCTTGTCTCCCCGTCATTTTTTTCTATCAATAAAATGTCAAAAAGTGTTGAATAGCTATTAAACATTTTAAACCTACGTTATTATCAGCCACCTTCAGAGTTTGTTACTGCAACAGTTATCTATTTATGCTCTTACAAAACCTTTAAATGAATAGTGGATACCACTTAATGGATACCACCATTAAACACAAGATCAATATTTATTGTTATATGCACAGTAAAACTCCACGGTTTTGACCACAATGAGATTCTTACTTTGCAAGTCTACCTTACACAAAATATGCCATATAAATACAGACAGAATATACACAAAAGAAGTGCAAATATGCTTTGTGCAACAATCAAGATAACAGTGAGTAAGATAATGGGGAGATAGTGTTCCATGTGTTGTTCAGGAGTCTAATGGCTTGTGGATAATAACTGTTTGAGACTCTTGTTCTTGATTTCACACTCATGCACCGTCTCCCAGACGGCAGCAGTGTGAAGAGATTGTGTTGTGGATAGGGTTGGGAACCGAGAACCGGTTCTTATGCAGAACCGGTAGTGTTTTTTCAAAAATACCGGAACCGTGCGAAATTCCTGAGTTTCGGTTCCGAAAACGGTTCTGATGCGATGTGTGGACGAAGTGCTGGGAGCTTATCCTTTAATAGCGACGTCTCACCACATGAATATTAAAATTGTAATGAATGCACTGTCCCTCGCACTATTCGTATTAAAGTTACTTTTTTTTTTTGCGTCAGATATCAACGCAGAGAGAGAGAATAAAGACAGTAGAGCTGCACCGCCATTAATCTTTAAACGATCTCGATTCAAACACCCACGCGATCTTATTCCTAAATGACAAAAACTTCACACCGGGACATTCAAATCTGTTTGCGCTGTCGCTGACCCAGAGAGAGCAGTTCTACATGAAACAGCTAGCTTTACTTTCAGTCTTTTCATTTTCAACAACACAGTATCGATATTTCTGTGTTAAAAATATTCAAATGATCACAGAAGTACTGAGATAAAAGTTTATAGTTCGAGAATTATAAACACTGATGTCTACTGTAGCAACCAAAACAGTTAATCACCTTTTGAAAGTCGCTTCAAATAACGAAAATTCGCTTCAGAATTTACAAAATGTATATAATGAGCGATTACATCATGAATGCCTTTTTTCAAAAAGTGTTTTTGTCTTATCCTGAATCACTACGGTAAGGCTGTAAGCGTTTAGACTCGGACTACTTTACACTGGTCGGTTCGGCACTGCTGCGGAGTAGCCCAGTGCCTGCGTGACTCACCATCATAGACATAAACATAGAGAAGTAGCTCCGGCTACAATGTTCTTCCGCAAGACGCATGCTTTCTGTTTATTAACTGCTAGAGCACTTTAATCCAGTAAGGAAACAAGTGAAGTTTTTATGAATCAATCATTCAAACCGATTTTAAAAATATTATGTTTCACCTGTCTGGATCTTACATGTGTGTTCAAGCATATTCTACCCCTTCTGAGAGGGTATTCCACTGCTGGAGATACAATAAGATATAGGAGAGGTCCCAAATTATCCTTGAGAATGCAACATTTTTTATTTTCCTTCAGAAAAAATTATTGCTAAATAATATGTTGCATTTGTTGACATTGCCAGTCTGTTAAACTCATTTGACAAGTATCAGAAATAAAGCACAAAAAGGATTGTGTATTTTCCCCGTACTACTATTTGTATTAGTTGTTTTAATAATTTTTATTGAATGGGAACCGGAACCGGAATCGTTTGGCGGAACCGGAATCGGAACCGGAACCGAAAAATTTCTTACGATTCCCAACCCTAGTTGGGGATGTGTGGATGTGGATGTCCCTGATGGTGTTGTGGCCCCTCCTGAGTATCCTGAAGTTATGGGAAGGCTAATCCACATATGAACTGTGCTGGTATTATCACATGCTGGAGTGCTTTCCTATCCTGAAAAGTGCAGCTTCCATACCACACTGTGATTTGAACTGGTGATCACACTTTCAACTGAACATCTGCAGTGTTTTTCTTGAGCGAATTAAACACGTCAGCCATGGATGGCGCCATGATACAAATAATAAAAAAAGACGAGGAAGCCCTCATCCCTCCCATGTAGCTGTAAGGACAACGATTCCAGCTGGAGCCAAGGGAGTGAGGAGTTCAGGGGGAGCCCACTACTGGAGCTAGTGGAGATAGGACTGAGGAACTGGATAGCATGGGCAGAGGGTTATGAGAAGACCTCCTCTGCTGATACAGGATAGACAGAGAGTTCAAAAAACGGTGTCCCTGGTCGATGCAAGACAGGCTGAGAGTTCAAAAATGGCCTCCTTGGATGAAACAGGACAGGCAGAGAGTTAAAAAAACGGTGTCCTTGGCCAATGCATGACAGGCTGAGAGTTCAAAAACAGCCTTCTTGGCCGAAAAGAGAGGAATTGAGCTTACATGATGGTCATGGTGGATGGCTGGATGGGCTCAGGTGATTCAACATCCTCTTCAACATCCTCTTCAGTCTCCCAGATGGTGTAGGGGGATCCGCATTGGAAAACTTCCCAGTCCAAATAATCCTAGAAGTTCCCTTGAGGGCATCTCTGAGCAGGCTTTCGTCTGTTGATTTAGACCTGCCCAGAAAAACATGCAGAGGCTGGCGTCATCATAATGAACCAGATCTAAAAACAGCCTCACTGAATGCCGGTGGGGACAGATCTCCCTGGGAGAGAAGGAACTGCTGCAAGACCCATTTTTTTTTCTGGTCAGTTCTTCTCTCAGCCAAGGGTGGCAAAAAATAAAAGTGCAGGATCTATTAAGCAGTGGATCTCATTCACTAAACATGTGTACGCACAAATTTGTGCGTGAAATCTGTGTACAAACGTTTTCATGAACAAATCATGATTCATCAAAACTTGATACTTCATTATTTTAAAATCTATTCTAAATTTACACCAAAAAAAATCAGGAACAACTGAAACCACTCATACGCAAAAATCATACACTCTTGGTGGCCTGTTAAGATGACATTTTAAACACACACACATACAGTAAAAGTTTGTTTTAGAAGTCTCCTACAACAGGTTTACATGCATCTAAGGTCAAAAAACGTTTCATTTTCTCATAATATACATTGCGCATCACCAAATTTTTTAGTGATTCTCAAACGACTCAACAGATGAATTAGTCTCTCTTAATCCCTCCTTTCCTCGAGCCTATCCTGCTCTGATTGGCCAGATGGCCCAGTCTGTTGTGATTGGTCTACCGCATACAGCTCGTGTTTCGGAAGCTAAACTTCCTTTATCATAACTGAACTTCAGCTCAGGAGACTTCCTAAAGTTCAGCGATTGTACACACTGTAAAGACAGTAATGATGACGTTGATTTTATCATATCAATTTGAGCGCGAATCCGATGATGAAACATTGGAAGAACTAGGTATTGAACCTGAACCTCCATAACAAGGACGACTTAGCAAGACGTTTCTCAGTAATAGACTACTCATTTTGTGGTACATTATGAGATGTTGCAATTGTAATTCCTCACCATCAGCAGTATCAAGTGTATGTCCATCAACAAACAGATGCATATTTCTAATTGAATATCAATATCTAATGGGAACTGTATCAATAATAGTGCTTAGGTTAGCCCAGCACTAACTTGAATGACCGATGTAACAAACATTTGTAAAACAAATCTTGCTCCATCGTTTATCTTTACACAAAGTAGTAAGAACGACAGACAATCTGCATTAATAGACCGTTTTAGGTAATAGTGGCCAACAGCACAGTATTAACGTGAGTTAGGCGGTTAGTTATGCAGATAATTATTCATGCTTACAGGTTGTGATTCTGAGGAGCAAGCTGGTCCAAATAAACTGGGTACTGACCCATCTTCCAAGAGCAAACATTTTG